ACAAGGGATTTCATCCACATAACATAGTAAACTTAAAACCCTAGATATACACAACAATATAGTATGGGTTTCAACACAAAATCAAGGCAAGGAAAATACTAGAATTTCACAAGTACAAAACAAGAAATCTCTAGATTATTTTCTTACACAAAATGAAACTACAACTATATATAAGTTTAATCACATACAAGTCTTATGCAAAAGTGAAACCCTAGGTTAGATAAACTCAAGTTTCATCTAGATACAACCCTAAAATATCACTAATCATGTATACAACTTATATTAACTACAAAGAGCACATAATACACATAGAATATAAACATAGTTCATCCCCTACCTCACTAAAATAAAGAGTTCTAGAATCCAAGAAAAAGCAAGCAAATGGTGAATCCAAGAACACGGTAAGCAAGAGGAGGAAAAGGGGAATGTTTTGTCTTTTAAGTGCTAAGCCAAAAGGTGTGAGGAAGAAGCTTGAAATCAAGGCTTAAGGCTAAAGTTTACAAGTTGCTTCAATGGAAGCAAGGCATAAGGTTGGAGAAGAAATGATATTTTCACTACATTTCCCACTTACTCAAACCCTAGATAGTCAAACACACACACACCTACACTACCTCTCTCACACACAAACATAAGACTTAATCTAGGCCTTTCACTTGTCACCAAGTTAGGCCCCCTCACAAGATCACATCTTTGGCCTACACTTGTCACCATCTTAGGCCTCCTCACAAGGCCTCATCTAAGCCCTACACTTGTCCACATCCTAAGCCTATAAGTGCACCAATTCTAGTCCAACAAGTGGGTGAATATTCACCATACACATGTCATCATCCAAGGCTTCCAAATGTCACTACTAAAATGCCTACAAGTGGACCAATGAGAGTGTGACACTTGTCACACTTTTCGAAAATTACAAAATAGTCCCTCCCCAAAATAAATTACAAAATGGTCCCTAAGACAAAATACCCAAAAAAATAATTACGAAAACACCCCGAGAAATGAAAATATTCCTGAAGAAACTACACAATCATACCCTTACAGAAAAGTAAAAAGTAGCATGTTTTTTTACAAAAGTAAAGTTACACATTTCATGGAAATAAAGTTAAGTAAATGCATGTGACGTCGGAAAATGAAATCGGGCACAAAACCCTAACTCGGTTTCTTAAAACCTTAAGGCACGGGAAAGGAAACGACAACAAATGAAATGAACGAGCATACAATGTTATACACAAGTATCAAACTAAAAGGTAAAATGCATAATCATGAATGCACAGAGTCTCGGGAGTTATTCCCGAGCACTCGACTCGACCCGAATGAACAAAACCCATACTCAGAAGAAAACAGTAACGGAAAAAGAAAACCCGTAAAAACAGGAAAAAGAATCGGTCATTACATAGTATTAAATCTTTCTTCTTAAATCTTGTTTGTGTTTTCATGTTCAATCTTGTTACTCCTTTCTTTGTTTGTCTACTATTACCTGTTGGGTAGTTCACTAATAGTAAATTGAGATATGAATGGTTCCCACGTTAGACCTTATTTATTGCAATGGTCAAAAAGCGATATGGTTAGCCACTGGTTTAATATTTTATGGAGCTTCCTTTGTTCCATCGTATATTCAAACTGGTTGGATTTGTTTGGCTTCATGTAGGTGTATGCTTTCTAGAGTATATAACATCGGTAAGGATGCTTATGTGCAAGTTGGTGTTGTTCACATGATGGCATGCATGGTCTCCTCCTCAGCCTGGGTTTCTCAAGGTTATTTTTGATGCAGTAGTTTCTTGGAAACAACGAGAGGTTGGAGGTGGTATAGGGGTTCACAATAGTAATAGGCTTCCTATTAAAGTTGCATTTGATTTCTTCCGAAAAGTGGTGAACTCCATTTTTACAAAAGCTTTGGTGATACGAGCTACCATGGTATTGGAATTAGAATGGGGTCTTCATCAAGTGGTTTTTAAAAGGGACAATAAGTATGTTATGATGCTCTCTGCTGAGGTGGACAAAATCGCTTACGTCTTGGATGTTGTTAAATGCTTTAAGCCCCATCATCACTCATTCGGATGTGCATGGATGGCCTGTAATGGTCATGTGAAGGCTTACAGACTTGCCCAGGTAGAATTGATTAGGAAAGTAAGCACAGAGAGCTCCATATTTTTTCATGTTTGTTTGTTGTGAGCTCCTCCTAATGTATTTGTTATTCAACTATTTATAAAACTCTTTATATGGGTTGATGTGTCTTAAATATTGGTATAATAAATTTCTAAGTGGATATATGGATATATATAAAGAGGTATTTGAATCAAATTGGAACTTGAACATTATTTTATTATGCTCATTATCAATAAAAATAAAGAGATACCTTCGAATTAGTCCTTGGACCCTGGGAGATTGTATAACCTTTATAGTGTTATGTTAATTTTGATATAATCAGTTATGCTCAATTATAAGTTATTTATGGGCATGATAAGTTTGCTTAGATACATTATAAAGTACATGTAGATTTTTACATGAAATCCACGCTTGTAGGGACAAACCTAGGATTTCACATGGCACAATGTACTTAGGTAGTAGAGACAGTGCCAGGATTTCACATGGCACAATATACTTAGGTAGTAGGGACGGAGCCATTATGTACTTAGGTGGTTTCCTAATGGTTTAAAAAAAATCGGGGAACTTTTAATAAATATACATATAAAAATATAAAATAAATAAAAAAATAAAATTTTCAGGGGGGCACGTGCCCCTTGATCCTTAGCTCCCTTCGTCCATGCATGCTTGTTCTATTGAACAAATAAGTTATTGTAAGAATATGGTCCTATTGAAACTATATAGGGATAAACGTATGTAAGTCACAACATAATATTTGTCAGAGGATGCAGTTTTTTGCTCATAGACATTTGTCATGCAATTTATAGGTGTCTAAACATTTTTCTGAAAATGCAGGCATAAACGTTTGTCCATAAGTATAAACGTCTGTCCTTATAAGATTTTGCAATTCAAGGTTCTTAAGGCCATAAAGAGATCTCATTTACATAAATTGATGCCTTATGGTATGAGATTTCCCAAGGTCAAAGTGACTTTCACTAAATCAAATAACTGTTTTGCTTTTATAATATATTTCATCCAAGTTCTAGGGCCATGATAAATTCATTTTTGGCCCTTAGCCTTATTCCAATTATAGTGTCCTACACTTGAGCTTTCAAAGCACATGCATATGTATTATTTCACATTCAAGTCCGAGCACACACACACACCTATAGTACCCATGTTCTAGACGTTTAAGTTCCATCATTAGCATGATCATTAAGTCCACATTAATCTTTGGGTACTTGAGCTATATGATGCATCTATAAGTCCACATTAATCTTTGGCTTTCCATAATTTTCAAGGGACACTTTGTAACTTTTAAGAAATATACATATAAAAATATAAAAAAACAAAAATTTCAGGGGGGGCACATGCCCCACGATCCTTAGCTCCTTCCGTCCATGCACGTTTGTTCTAAAGAACAAAGAAGTTATTGCAATAATATGGTCCTATTGGAACTATATAGGCATAAACGTATGTAAGTCACAACATAGATATTTGTAAGTCACTTTCAGAAAAGGTGCAAGGATGTAGTTTTTTGCTCATAGAAGTTTGTCATGCAATTTATAGGTGTCTTAACTTTTTCCTGAAAATGTAGGCATAAACGTTTGTCCATGTGTATAGACGCACGTTCTTCTAAGATTTTGCAATTCAAGGCTTTTAAGGCAATTAAGAGATCTCATTTACATAAGTTTATGCCTTTGGGTATGAGTTTTCCTAAGGTCAAAGTGACTTTCACTAAATCAAATGACTATTTTGCCTTTATAATATATTTCATCCAAGTTCAAGGGTCATGATAAATTCATATTTGGCCCTTGGCCCTATTCCAATTATAGTAACCTACACTTGAGCTTTCAAAACAAGTGCACATGTATTATTTCACATTCAAGTCCAAGCACACACCTACCTATACTACCCATGTTCTAGACATTCAAGTTCCATCATTATCATGATTATTAAGTCCACATTAATCTTTTGGGTACTTGAGCTATATGATGAATCTATAAAAATAAAAAAAATAAAAAAAAACCCACCCTCAAGTACGTTGTCAAATCCTTCTCACCAACTAGACATTTATGCGGATTCCTCAAAAAAAAAAAAAAAAAAAAAAAAAGGTATTTTCACATCTTCTTCACTCAAAATGGCTAAGAAGAGGAAATGTTACTTCTTTTTAGGATACTCTCGGGAACAGCTCCAGTGAAGATGAGGTGGGGCCTATAGCTCATAAGATTAGAATGGAACCCTCCAATAAGTCTATTGGTGTCATCATCCATACATAACAAATTGGTATGGTATATTCATATCATAACATAAATTAGTATGGTATATTCATATCATAACATTTGACATTAAGGGTCTATTTGGCATGTAATATGTTTACGCGTTTTTTGTCAATATCAGAGCAACCGTTGTAGGGGCATTTTATGTAGAAATCGAAACCATGTTTGGTAACGAAGAAATTTGTCTTAAGAAATTCAAAATTTTGCTTTAGTTTCTTCACTGCAATACCAAAACACACAATATCACCAATTTGGTGATACGAGTTTGGGTCAAAAATTTTATATGTTATGAATTATTAAAAACCAATATTGGTTGTCCCAAACATAATATGGACCCAAATTTGAAGACCAATATCTGAAAAATATGAAGACCGCTAAAAGTGTGACAAAAATTGAAAATTCGAATTTTGACATAGATGTGCGCTAAATCTAAAAAGGATAGAATGGGTGAGCAGAACCTATTGGGTTCATGAGTTACGCGAGAAACTCGATTAAAATGAACTCTGAAGTTTACCAGAAAGATGTGTTGCAAGAGGACCTTCCCTTTGATTGAAGGGCATTGGTTTGAGAACTACTGAAGGTTTTGATCATCAAATGCACAGTACTCAAGTAATAAATAAAAGTGACGAGAGAGAAAAATACTATGAAAATAAATTTCTTGCTTCCTTTTCCTTTCTAAAATAGACTAAAGAAACCATAAGCTATTTGTTTAATTAGGCCTCCCTCAAAAAAACAAAAAACAAAAACCCAAAACTGACACATGCCTAAACCACTGCAATTTCCCTTAGCAGTTCCTTACATTTCAGACCAAAAGGAACTCTATTCCTGTTTTTTGCTCACAACCTTTAAACCTCAGGAAATTCTAACGAGTCAAAGAAGCAGGCCAAGAACATCACAAGTCATCAGGGGGACTGCACCATCTGTAACTTATTCCAATTTACGTCCAGCAAATGGCACAGAATACACAAATCCCACCATTTCTTCTTTCCAATGCCCACTTGACAACTCGGATTTCCTTCTCAATATCAATCAAAGAAGCCAAAAAAGGAAAAAAAATCCACCAAATTAAGAAATTATCAAGCCCCGTATAGTAAGAGGTTTAGTAAATCAAGATTCCGGTTTGGAGTCAGATGAGCTGAACCCAGATGAAGAAGCACCACCAACACTTTCCATGCGTAGATTGACAGGCACTGAAAACTTTGACGGCATTCCTTGGAGAATTCTTGAGGATGGCCTTGATTTAATGTACTGCTGAAGAAAAAAGCATTATACAGAGTTTAGATAAAAATATCAAGAGATAACAACAATTTTCAGAGGTTCCGATTTTACAGAACTTCTGAAAACAAACTTCAATGAGATGAGGGTACAGTAACTATCTTCTAATGGTAGAACCAGTTGTCTCTCAAGTCTCAGCCATCATAGATTTTAAATTCCCATTAACATAGATCAACTAAAGTGATCATATTTTCAAAAGGTACTTACCTCATTATCTCCCTTATCCCTGTAGAAAGCACTGATCTCCTCCTCTGTAAGGCCTTCATCATCTCCATTTTCCTCCCAGCCAAGTGAACGTAAAAATGCAGCCTCTTCCTCCTCTGAACTAAGGATTGCAGCAGAGCTAGAATGATTCTTACCATTGCTTACAAATTCCTGAGGCCGGTAAGAGGCATCACCATTGCTTGCCACATCGCCACTCTTTTCAGATGACGAGCCAACAGAGCTATATGATGAAGGGGCATCTCTACCCTGAGTAACAGGAGCAGCATCAGCTTCTGCCTCGTCAGACTTATCCAAGACATGGTGTGACACAGCAGGGACAGGACCAGGAACAGCAGAAGGGTTTGTCATAGATTTCTTCCTCACGAGGTTGAAGAAATCACTCCGGCTCTGAGCTTGAGACGTGGGTCTTTTTTCCAAAACTGCCAGGGCTGGCTTGCACTCAGTACTGGCAAGGTTTGAGTTGTTGTTTGGGCTCCTCAAGGGAGCGGAACCAATGACCGAAGGTGCAACAGCAACTGTGGTGTTTGCTACTTTACTACCACTTGTTGGTGCTACTTTACTACCACTTGTTGGACTCGAGCTATCCTTTGCAGTCGGAGAAAGACCATTCTTCTCTCGTGATGGCTTAAGAACATGAAGCTTTCCCACACTAGATGTCTTTGAAACATCAGACTTTGCAGGCCCACCACGTGGAGAGTGATTAACAAGGTGAGAAGATGAGATCTGATTCTGCTGCTGCCCAATCTTAGGTTTAGCTTTCTCTGAAGGATTCAGAACCTTAAACAAAATTTATACAATGATCAGCCATACTTACATAAATCTGACTAACACAAATGAGAAATTGTTCTCCATCCAACAAAATCAATTTTGACTCTAAACAATCACTGATTAAAATTATCCCACCGTATACAATAAATAAAGAATTTAATATAAAATAACAATTTTAATAAGAGTTCAATTTGGGATATAATATATATAACAAATATAAGCAAGTACGTGTGTTGAGGGTCAACGTCAGGTTGGTTGGTGAGAGCAGTAGGCCACGCACAATTATTGCTATCGATCATTACCAGTACAACCTTTTTTAAATCTTTGAGAATTCACAATAAATTTAATTTCAACAAAAAGCTCTTTTTATTCCCAACTTATCTGAGAATTTCTCCCATCTGCAACAGAAGCGTATATCATAATTTCTTCCAGTACTCCTAAAAGTCCACTGCCTTACAAACTTTCAATATAAAATATGTAATTAAACAAGAACAAGATGAATTTTATGATTTTTGTATCCCTAATTTACCTTTCTGCAGAAAAGAAGTACATATCATTGGTTTCAAAGTTCTCAACACTGCTCAAAAAGGGTGTAAAACAAAACCTAAAATAAATAAATAAAATAAAATAAAAATCAGAATTTGGAATTATGTTAATTTAATTGTACACTATTGTATGAACAAGATGATTGCAGGAGGCCTCAGGACTCTATATTTGCCTCATATTATTCGGACAGTTTATGTATTTTTGACTCAGCAAATCTCACACTTGCATTAAACATAAGCCAATATACCTCTCCTTGTGCACGGTCCTACACAGCAATGGACAAAACCACAACTGCACTTGTTAAGCTCATATTTCACCACCCAACCAAAAGAAGTAATATATTTTCACCAAAAAGAACATGTTTAGAAACATTAAATCACAATCTGTCTAGTAAATCATAAAAAAAAAAAGTCAAATTTAAAACAAAATTTATTCAAGTGGAAGAGAATACTACATAAATCACGAACTTCATATTTTTCTGTATTGTTAAATGCCTTAAAACTGAAATAGGAGTGCTGAATATGTCACTGACGTAGAAAGCCAAAATACAACAAAAGCCCAATGAGGCATGGGCTGCATAACTCAAATGAGTGAACTTATTTCTGTTAAATGAAAATATATAAATATATATACATATTCCACCACGCAACCCCCAAAAAAATATATGTTTCATCCAAAAACTTGTTTAGAAATATTTGGAAAACCACAATCTGTCTGGTGAATCATGACTTCATGAGAAAGACTTTGAAGAGAGAAAAAACAAAAATGAAACACACACATATATATATATCTCAAGTGGTAGATAATGTTATTTAAAGCATCAACTACCTAGCTATTCTATACTCAATTTTTTTTTTTTTTTTATAAAACAGAAAATATAATAATGGTTAAAACGAATGCTTCACTTGGTACGAGGGAAGGAAAACTAGGGGTCTTAAGAGGTTTTTTTTTTGGGAAATATAGGGCCTCTCCCTTGTTTTGTTTAGCTTAAAAAGAATGAAAGGAAGAATGGAAGAAGCGTTATGGGATTTTATCATCATTCCTTACAAATTAAGTTTTTTTTTTTTGTATATTTCTTTTATAGGTAGCTATGCATGATGGGACCATTGAACCTAAAAAACAAAATCAAGCCAGCCATTTTGGGTTATTTGTTTAGGTGTCCCAGTGTTCTGGTTCAATTCCAGATCCATAATAAAAGAAATTTTAAATTTGGCCAAGTTTCAGTTCAAGGGTGGGCTAAAAGACTGCCCACAAACCAATTGTATACGAGTATATATCATAAAATACTATTACACAGTAGATAGACCGATTGCCCCACATTGATTAAAACAGCATGGCATCTCTTCACACTTCAGTACTTCACTTAAAAAGGACAATTCCTTTCAACAAGCATTACCCTATGGAACAGTGGGTTTTTGAATACCCAAAATATTGCATGTCTAATTTTGTACTTTAGTTAGTAAATTCCCTTTTCAAACTATTTTTTCTACTTTAAAAAGTTTAACAATAACCATAGAACCAATCCAAATCAACCATGATTGTTTCAGCCCGTAATAAGGTTTAGGTTATTTTTTGGTAATTGCAAGTCTTTCTGCATGTAGGTTCAGCACCAACTCAAACCAAATTCATCCATGTAAACCATTAGTTTTGAAGACAAATATGTCAAAAGCAGCCCATTCCTTCCTTTTCTCCCACTTCTGGAAGTAGTTCGAGGCAGGAGTATGGTAGAAGCAATGGAAAGCTAATAAGCACCCCCCTTACTCCCTTCCTTTCCCATCCCTATCCTTTAAATCATATTAAAGCACCTATCTTTACTGATATCACACCCCAAAGATTCTGCCACCATATGCTTATCTAATAACTTTGATGGTACCATGGGGCACGGGCCACAACCCTTTGGTATCTCCTCAACTTCTCGAAGTAAAATGTTGAGGGTTTAAGTCCCCATAGGAACAATTGAGTAAATTGTGAAGGTGTTCCATTACTTGTTACTTAGAGAATGCCCTAATCTGGTTCCATCAAATCAAAGTGTTTCATGCCTTCTGTTTCCAGCATTTTGACACTTGACTTCTCTCTGTTTCATTCTCTATGTTTTTGGCTTTTATTTCCCCTTCGATATCAGAGCACTAACATGCACCAAGTGTTCCCCAGCATTCTTATTTATTTTTAAAGCATGTTAAAAAAAAAAAAAAACTGAATCCATATGTTCAATAAACAACAAAGGGGGACACAGCATTAACCTTATCCAATACATGACCTGTCTAACGTAAATACTACGACGGTTGCTATATTTTAAGTCTGGACAAAGGTCCTGGGAAAAAGACTTGGACACTTTACTAGTGTCCCAAACCCAAACCTCGCATTCTTTCACAAGGCAAGAGAATGGCAAATTAAACAGTTTAAGTTTTATATTTGAAGAAATACAAAGCAAATCCTGCTTTTTTAAGGCCAATGTTTGCACCCTAAAAGCATATCAAGGAAAGTTAAATGGTCATTTATATTTGAATAATTTTTAAAATTTACAATTAAACAACAAATATATAGCATTAGTAGAAAACCAGAAATATCATAGATGAGGGGCCTGGTAAGAAATCCCACGCAGTACATGTGAAGGGGACTAATTTGAATCCCCTTAGTTTGAAAAAGAATAATTGATTGAAGAGGTGAACACACTTGCCCATGATGACCCCAACTTTTGATGTACAGCACCGAATATAGCTATAGTCCAGAGAAAAACCGCATGTACTATGTATGTGATATCTTTCATTTGCACAAAAGCAAAGATATTGGCAGAATCCATTGTTCAATGGCTCAGAATAGTTGGGTCTTGCTTTTGGGTTTGTTCGGAGTCCATTGGGCTATGCCTCGGTCTTCGAGAGGCACGATAGAGACTTGGAGAGGTTGTACAGTGAGTTCCCAAGTATGTTGACTTTTGGTGGGTGGCACCCTTGTTTGTTTCGTTGTGTCTATGGAGGGAACGGAAAAGAAGATCGTTCGATGAAGAGGAATCTACTATTGGGGCACTAAATTCTCTATTTTAGCTCTCTTTTTTGCTGGGTATATGGGAGAAACTGTAAATCCAACGGGGAGATGGATGAATTTTTTTTTTTTTTTTTTGTGTGTGTGTGTGGATATTTTGAGAGTTTAGGGGCCCTATTTGGCCCTTGTGTAGTTTTTGCAAGATGCGTTCCACTTTTGAACGCTTTCTAATGATATTTTACTTGTTAAAAAACAATAATAATAACAATGGCAGAACCCCTCTGTTTGCACCTTTGACAAGCTTTTTTTTCTTCCAAAGCTCATTAAGAATATTCCTAAATCTATACCTTAATGCTTTTCAATTACCAAATCATGAAATCAAGTATATTATAGGGGGATTCTTTCCAGGTAAGAATCTTATTCTGATCTATTTCACCTCAAATTTTGTGCAAACTTGATGCTGAACGAAGTTAAATAACATGATGTACAAGTTTGCATATAAATGCGCATTGATGCATCTTAATGTTAGGAAGCACAGACACACCTAGAAGGTCAAAGATTCCGTTTTCAGACGCACCAATAGACATGTTCGAATTTTTTATTTTTATTTTTTGGACACACTGCGAACACATACCATGAACACGTCTCCGAACAGGTCACATTGTTAGGGAGTTAGTTTTAAGAAGAAAGATGAGTTAAAAGTGTAAATATGACAACTTCTTAGAACATTTTCAATAATATTATTGCTGTTCTGGAATATATTCGATTGTGTAGCTCCTTAAACAAAAAGCTAATTATTGTTATAGCTTACTAATTATTATGATTTGTACATTTTTCATTGTTAGGTAGATGGAAAATAATTACTTTTAAAATATAGAATCATATATCGGACGGCCCACAGGGGTTGCTGGCACTTATAAGGGGGATGACTCCTTTATTTTTACTTATCAAAAAAAAAAGGGGACTGGGGGGGGGGGGGGGGGTGTGGTGGTGGATGCCTCCTTTATGTGTAGGCACGTTTGGAAAAGGGGGTGGATGCCTCCTTTATGTGTAGGCACGTTTGGAAAATCAAGAACACAGAGTGTGCGCAAAGTGGACAATATCTACACAGTTTGGGGAGGGTCCTGACACATGGTAGCCTAGCCAATCCCTCCCCCCTCCCCAAAAATGGGGGAGCATGCACAAACCCATGAGGGTCGGGCCAGCAAGGATGCTTGGTCCCAAGAGAGGTGATTGCAACATCCCACATCGCCTAGGGGTAAAAGTTGCTTGCACTTATAAGGAGGGATGCCTCTTTATGCGTTTTGAAAACCGTCAGTACAAAGAGTGTGCAAAGCAAATAGTATCTACACAATATGGGGCGAGTGCACACCATGAACCCTCTATGCTTTCGATTTTCAAAATAATAGGGATCCCTCCCCCACTCCCCTTCCTGGCGATGTGGAACGTCGCAATCACCCCCTCTTGGAACCTAGCATCCTCACTGGCGTGACCCTTGTGGGCTTGTGCACGCTCCCCCCATTTTCAACTGGGAATTGGCTCTAATACCATTTGTCAGGACCCACCCCACGTTATATAGATATTGTCCGCTCTGTACACTCTTTTGTTCACAGTTTTCAAAACGCATCTACACATGAAGGACGCATTCCTCCTTATATGTGCCAATAATATCTCCCCCGGTTGTCATATCCCCACAATGTCCATAATTTAATTTTTTTACAATTTATTGTGTCTCATTATCCGTGTCCTATTTATGTATCCGTGCTTCTTATGGGCAACACTAGCCAAAAATAAATAAAAAATCAATGGAAACATCAAAATTCAACTCCAAAAGCTAGTAACTAGGACCCATCTCTTTTAAAAGTTAAATGCGAAAGCAAAAGCCCGCAACAAGTATAATTGTTAAGAATTTAGAATTGCAAACTAGACAAGTAAGATTCTTCAAATCCAATAAAGGATTGTCAATCACATTTATCTTTTTTCTCAACCCCCACTAACATAGGTAGACGGGATTACATATTGACAAGGAGCAAAAAGAATAAAAGAGACATAAGACAAACAATTGTCAATACTGAACACCAATATAACAGATTAGAGGGATTCTAAAAGAAGTTTTAGTAAGTTTGTTAAAAGGCCAAATACACACACACACACACACACACACACATAGATATATAACCTCCTTAACATTGAATGTCATCAACATAATTAAAACAAAGGAAGCCAGATGTTCAGAGTAGGTTTCAAAGTGTTGTCCAAGAAAGTTCACTTGACCAAGTCATATCTGTCCTAAACCAATGAAGCAATATGAATAAGCAAGACAAGGGATGGGATATTATATGAATTCGGGAGACATCTCAAACTCAATAATATATATATATACATACACACACACACGTACATATAAATTAATAAGTTCATCTAATTGTCTGGCTCAATATCTTCACCAAGAATCTACTCGAGTGGTATCTCCTCTGCTTTGCAAATGAGTGGTCAAGAGTTCAGGTTCCAAATGGGATAAGAGGGTGTGTGACTTACTTAAAAATAAATTAAAATACAAAGCAGTTTGCACAATATTCTATAATACATATTAAGTGATCACAGAATCATGAAAAGATTTTGGGCAAACAACCATGGGTGCAGGGCATCCCCTTCACATGCACTTCACATACTGGGAAATATGTACGAAACTACCTCACGCTGGAAAGCCTCATGACTAGACTTAAAACAGATCGGATTCGAACCAAATCTGGCTTGATCCAATCCAATCCGAATTCAATAAGATTATTTATTAAGATGATCCAATCAAATAACCCCATGAATCATTCCTAAATGAGTCCATATCTAATTAGTTATTAATTAGACATCCCATCTGATAACCGGATACGTTACAAATGTGATTTTTGGTTTAAAAAAATTAATATCAAAAGAGACGGGCAAACAATGAATAGAAAGAAGAGATAAGACGGATAATAAAAAGGAAGTATGGACCAAAAAAATAGAAGAAAATTAAATTTTCCACTCTATGTTAAAGAAAAAGAACACTAAAGAGTAAAATATTATTTACATATTACGTATTTAAACATTAGATAATACTCCCTCCATCCCACAAAAAGTGTCCACATTTCCTTTTTTGGTTGTCCCAAAATAATTGTCCCAAATCAAAATTCAATGCACTATTTTTTCAAAATTCCTAATTTACCCTCCTTACCTTGAACTTCTAAAAGCATATGGTCCCACCATAAAAGGGTAGAATTGGAAATTCGTTCTCTACCACTATAATAAAAAAACATTAAAAACTACACTCTTAAAAAGTTAAGTTCCCAAAAAGGGACAATTTTATGGGACAGAAGTAGTATATGTATAATATATTATGTCGGATTGGATTAGTAGCGAAACGGATTGATCATAACTTATAACCAGTTTGTTCAACTACCAAATTATCATATTTGAATAGTTAACGGATTATCAAAATTATATTTTCAACCCGTATCTGACTTATCGGATTGGATATGGATCAAAATCTAATCTATTGACTAGTCACTAGCCTCCTCATGACATCAACGCACATTCCTTTCAATTGTCGATTTATTTTTCCTTTTCTTTTTTAGCTCAATGATTTTTATAATCAAATTTGATCTTCAAATAAATTCAATCCCTTGTGATAGCCTTTGAATGCACTAAGATTAGAATAGAAGCAACAACTTACCTCAACTAAATTTTATCTAATAACAGTAAAAATACAACAAAATCGAATTGTCCAATACATAACATCATTTAGACAAATTTACTTCAAGCATGTCAACAATTCTAAAAATGTGACATTGAACTAATTTTTTGAACTCGCGCAACCAACATATATAGTAAACCTCTAGCAAACAGTCATTGGAATCTTCGATAACTAGTTCAACACAAAGTATGCCTCAACAGTTCCACAACAGTGCAAACACACTTTGATCTTCAAACTACAAATCCTCCATCGAGGTTTTTCCATAACTAAACTAATACCAGAAAAAATTGCAAAAAACAACTTCACAGAATAATTAGGACATAATTCTCAAGGTCTTATTTGAAAGTTGTGGGAATGACAACCTTCTTTACTTATTAATTTATTTATTAGTATAGGAACGGCAATCTTCATAAACAATGTTTCACAAGTTGCGGACACAATTTAATGACCTACCACCTGAGCTATTATATATACCAAAGAAAAGATTCAATCACTCTTACCAAGGCTTTTGGCATGGATGGTGTCATGGGAATTAATTGCCTGGATTGTTTAATAGCCCGCTCTTCAAGCCTCTGTGTGCCAGAAGATAACTACAATATAAAACAAATGACACTATCTGAGAACATAAATATACTATATCATATGCCACAAAAACAAGAGAACAATTTTTTTTTTTTTTTTTTTGATAAGTAAAAACAAGAGAACAAGTAAGCAACCTGGGAACTACTATGAGCACGAGAAGGGCCCTGGGCCAAAGTTTCAGCCATGTTGAGACTAGTTATCATGCTTGAAGTCACAGAAACTGACATGGCAGGATTAGCTTGTTGAACAGATCCACCAGTGCCATTGCTTCCAACTATCACAGGCACCTCCGCCAAGGCTGATGTCCACCCATCACCACCAATCACAGCTGAAGGGCCTAATGGTAAGCTTTGGATGACAGTAGTCAAGCCAGGAGATGAGACTCTTACTACTTCAGGAGCCGTTTGTCTTTCTTCAGCTCCGAGAGACGGAAAATCCCTATCAAAAGCAGCCTTGTGCACACTGCTGCTGGCACTGCCACCTGGAAGCACGCCATTGCTATTGTTGTGGTTGCTTTTGTTGGCATTGCTTGAGTCAGCTGCAACTTTTCTGGGCCAAGTCTCACCTCGTTTCCCAGTAATCATTGATTGAGAACGCCTTAGCACATCCTTCTCAAACCTACCCGGCAAAATGCTCCCTAATGGATCAGGATCAGAATAGTCACGATGCCTATAGCCACCCAAAATTGACTTTTCTTTATCATGGGAGTCATATATGTCCTTTTCCCAATCCCTATCACGATTACTTCTACCTAAACTACTGAAAGACCGCGAGCGATCAGGTCCATTACTACTGGAACTCCGACGAAAGTACAAGGAAGTAGTTCGATCAGTAATGTTCACAGATGACTTATTTCTTGCAGTCTTTGATATGACATGATCATCTATGCCAATAAAAACAATGTCAGGGTACTTAATCAAACTTGTATAAAATGGCATATGTGCATAAACAGAAAACAACAATAACCAAGTATATCAAGATTACCTGACTGCGACGAAGATGATGCAATTTGGCGCGTTGTAGCATCACCACCAGTTACACTTCCACTGCTTTTCAACCATTCCGGTATTAATGTGGGCTCACCTTTTTCCATAACTAGTACCAAACATGATCAAATGAAAGGAAAAGATTTATCTATGTGCTAACTTGTCTTTCATGTATTAATTGCTCGATAACCACCTAGTATCTCCAAAAATTATTGTGTTCCTTCACAGTATAAATCCGATGTTACTTAATTTCCAGAAATAACGAAGTCAGCAGTGTCCTCAATTAAAATTTCCAAACCCTAATGCTTCAAAACCCAACGTCCAATGAAAGAATTGTAACTGTCATATACACTATAACTATGATTCGTTCTCTCTGTACACTATATATACTGTAAAGTCAGTCAAGAACAACGTTAATCAATTCAAAAGAAACAACCTAGTATAATCTCTGGGTGCCCAAAAACAATGCTAAGAACAGGTTCTAGAGTCCTACATATTCAGGAACAACAAACCTAGAAGACCCTCATCCCAGCAATTAACTTCAAACAAACACAAGGCAAACCAAACATCCCTACCCCCTAAATGAAGATGAGCAAAACAGAGCACTTCTTAAAGCAAAATTCAAGTCCATTAAGAGAGATAATCAAACCCTAGAATTGAAAACCATCAAACGAGGGCAAAAACTCGATACCCACAAGGAAACAATTACGATAAACCTAGGGTTTGAACAGTGAAGAAAGAGTATTGAGGGAAATTATCAGAAGAATAGGAACAAACAGTATATATGGAGATTAAGAAAAAACTGACTAACCCTGAACCGTTGGATTAACAATGAATTAAAGAAGATCAAACACTGGGAAACCAAACCCTAATCACGTCTAGCTCTCGCCGCCTGGTGATGTCAATGCTAAGCAGAGCGATTCAGCGAATTGATTTTAGGCAAATTTGAGAGAGAGAGAGAGAGCCAAAAATTCCAATTTCTGGAGAGAGAGGAAGTGTGTACTGAGAGAAAGAGGCGTTTTTATATTGTTGCGAGTTTTGAGAGTAGAGAGACCGGGAACGTATCGCTTTGATTGCGCCGTGTAGAGGAAGAAGATTTATCGATGAGAGAGAGAGAGAGAGAGGAGAGAGAGTTCTTGTTTTGCTATTCTACTCAAAATGTGAGGTAAACCAATGGTATCATGTTTGAAGCTTTGTTATATGTGTGTGTGTCTATATATATATTTAATGTTTATTGTTTGGCTTTGAAAATTTATGCAACACAATGAACGTGGCTTAGTAGGGTGGTTGTATATGGTGGACAATAAGCATCCTAATTGTGAAGTGAAATTGAAGCCAAGGGAAAATAAATTAAAAATAAATAATTTGAAGTTCGGGTTTTGAACCTACCAAAAAAATAAAATTTGGGGTTTGAATTTTGATACTTGGTAATTAATTTTTTTGATAAGACCTTAAAACTCTTTAAAAAAAAAAAAATTCCAAATTAGGGTGTCATCAATAGCTTCATGAATATACACACCAAAAACACAATGTTCATGAAATTTAGAGTTTAATAGAATTATGAGACTAAAAATAATAAAGTGGGAGTGCAAAGTTTCTTGCCACAGTTCAAATTTTTTTTTGAAAAATAGAACTAGTTGTTTGTTTAAATGGAGTGAAAAATTATGTCCACCAATTCCAACATAACAAGCAACTTAAGCTGACAAGACTGACAATTAAATTACAGGATGATCAGATATGTTTACGCGAGTCTTACATGATATCGTGACATCAATATCTAATAGTTGGATATATTCGTGAGTCTCACGTGATGTCATATCATCAAATATCTACTTTGAGTTGGCATTGATCAAGTGAGGTTTTACTTTTGGAAAACTAAAAAAAATAATCCACAGAGCAGGGACAAGTAGATTGTGAAAATTTATGGTATATTAGTACAAATGAAATGATTTGATATCAAATGATTTTAGTTCAGGGAGACGACATTCACACTCCCATTTTTTTTTACCATGTACTCCATTATTTTCTTACTTTTAAAGGAAATGACAAAAATATCCTGAAGCTCATTAATGCACCTCCCATTTTTTTACTAGTGTACTCCATTCTTCTCTTTCTTTTAAAGGAAATGACAAAAATGTCCTAAAACTCATTAATGCACCATCTGTTATACATATTACCATAACTACCATTTTTTCCTATAAACTTTAACCTTCTTTACTTTCTCTAGTTAGTTTTTTTTTTTTCTTTTGCAGAAGAGATAATTTGTTCAACAGAAACAAAATGCATCAAAAATAAAATAAATTGTTACAAGGCTTAAAGGGGTCAAGAAGCATTATGATATATACTTTTTCAAATCAAATAGATCTCTTACTCAAATCAAATAGATCTTTTATGATCAATAAGGTAAATCTCAAGATTCAAAACATTTTTAGACTAATCCTTAAAAATGGAGAAGAAGAAAAAAAAAATTAACATCACTATTAGCATTGTAGGAGTTGAATGGTGCAGAGTTTTTATAATTCTTCAATGCTTTCCTTACTAACAACATAATTAGTATGTTGAACTAAACCATAATTTTGATAATTCTTCAACGCTTCCCGTGCTAACAACATCAATTACTCTCTTCAACTCAACTATTACTTTATTTGTGGGATCTTCCATTGTTACTTGCAAAGATTAATATCAAATTCTTAGGATATCGAGAGAAGATATAGTAGATAAGGAGACTTGAGAGAGGCCGGTAGTGCAAACGAAAGAAAGGGAATTAAGAAAGCATGAGAGATCAAAAGCATTAATATTGAATTTGGTGTGCAGGAATGGAATGGAATTGGTTATTCTCATTCTATTATTTGGTTGCAAATATGAAATGTATTGGAATGGAATGATAATAATCATTCTAGTGTTTCGTCGAACCAATTTAAAGTTTAGAATGGAATGAATTTCAAATCGAATTCTCCAAAAAAAACCCTTATTGACAAATAAATTAAATTAACAAAATAATATTATTCTATAATTTTTTTAAAAGAAATGGAGGTAGTGGTGGATGGTGGTGGAGGTGGAAAGCGGTAGTGGTGTAGGTGGTGATGTTAAAAGGCGATGGTGGAATGCAACGACTGTAGTAGTAGTGTGGTGGTGGTGAAATGAGATAATGGTCTAGGTGGTGGTGGTGGAAAGTGGCAGTGCTGGAAGGCAGTGGAGGTAACGGTGGTAGTGGAAGGCAGTGAAGGTGGCGGTGGTAGTGGTGGAAGGCGGTGGGAGCAATGATGGAAGGTGGTGGTAGTGAAAGGTGGTGGCGGCAGTGGTAGTGGATGGTGGAAGGTACTGGTTGGAAGGCGGTTGTGGCCGTGAAAGTCGATGTCGGCGGTGCTTGTGGAAGGTGGTGGTGATGATGGAAGGCAGTGGTGGAAGGCAGTAAAGGTGACAGTGGCGTTGGTGGAAGAAGGTAGCGGCGGTGGTAGTGTAAGGTAGTGGCCGTGGAAGGCGTGGCAAAGGTGAAAGTTGGTGGTAATGGTGGTGGTGGAACGTAGAAGGCGGTGGCGGTGGCATTAGTGGTTGAAGTTGGTGGCGGTGGCGATGGTGGTAGAAGGTTGTGAAGGTGGCAAAGGTGATGGTGACAGGAGTGGTGGCAATGACTATGGTTGTGGTCAAAGGTGGTAGTGGTGGCATTAATGGAAGTTCATGGTGGTGGTGGCGGTGGCAACGGTGGTGGAGGTGGTAGTAGTGGAAGGCACTGGTGGTGACGATGGTATGGCGGTTGAAAACAACAACAATGGTGATGGTGGTAGAAGGCAATGAAGTGTTGATAGTAACGGTGGCAACGGTGGTGGAGGTGGTAGTAGTGGAAGGCACTGGCGGTGACGATGGTATGGCGGTTGAAAACAACAACAATGGTGATGGTGGTAGAAGGCAATGAAGTGTTGATAGTAATACGAAGGTGGTTGTGGTGGTGGTGGTGGTAGGAAAAGACAATGGTGTTGGTGGGGATGATGGTGGTAGTTTTTTGAATAAATAAATAATTCGAAAAAGGTAGTTATGCTAATTAAGAAAAATAATTATTTATTTACGAGATTAGAATTAGAATTGTCATTTCCTTATTGCTGTGCAGTGATAAAGGGAGTACAAATATGGCATTCTTATGTTGAAATAAAAGATTGACCATTCAACTTTGATTCCGAAATATAAGTACATTAAAAATATGGGATAATATATTCAATTACATTCCTTGTGCAACTTGAGTGTTTGGTAACAAAATATTAAATAACACCTCATATCTTGTTATGTGAGATTATATAAAGTTCTCACATTAAAAAGGAAATGATTTCGTACTCGTGATTGTTGGATATGAATGCTTTATTTATTTATTATTATTACTTTCAATAAATATTTTTTTGAACTTATCTTAGATTCAACAATCACGATGATTAGAGTAAAAAAAGATTCTCATTCCCTTGTGAACAAGATATTATTTCAGCAGTATGAACAAAAGTCCCACTAATTGAACAATTCGCTTTATATCTTTCATTTCATGTATTTGAAACTAATCAAACGACCATATATATAATATATATTACCTAAATTTTCTCGAACGTTATTTTGTCTCCCCGACCCCCCACTGCCAACCAAAGCCAAACAACTGAACTTTATTATTTTTGTAATTTGTCTTTAGCTAGCTACACCAAATGCATTACTTCATACATATAAATCAGTGGCCAGATTTTATTATCAGGCTAGAATGGAGCCAAATCATGCTTTGTTGTATCCGCCTATACATGTTGTATAGGCTGATATAACACGTACTAGTCGGTTGGTAACTATTTTTTAAAAGTTCGATACAATTTCATACTTTTATGAAGCGGTTAGTTCGGCCAGTTTACACCGATATTCGTTCGAATTCATTATACCGCGATCATAATTAATACCACGACTGTGAACCATGAGCTAAACATAAAAATGATCTATTACAAAATCTACTACTTTAATATTTATATAAAAGAGAAGTTCTTAAAAATATTATCATAGCAATACTAATTTCTTATTTTTCTAGTACCCCATTCCTGCAAAATTTTAATTTTGTGACATGTATATATAATATATAGTATATGATTTAAGCTTCTAAGTTTCGATTCAAGCAAAACCACTGGTGGACTAATATGTGCTGGTAATTTAATGGTCTGTAGCAATTGTTGAAACATATACGGTATAATAAAATGAAAACTACAAAAATAATATATGAATCCCATTAATTCAGTTGTCCATAACCATAACAAATGTTGTGAACTCTGGAATATATATATATATATTTGTGAACTCACGGTTGTGATTCATTATTAGTTGTAATAAATATATATAATAGTACTATATAGATGTATAAAAATGTTATATGTAAAAATTATTTTGTATTGTAATATTGCATCTAATCACCCCATACCTATTATGAATAATTCGTATAACTCGATACTACATGACAAAACAACATAATCAACAAAGTAATAAATAATATATTTGTATAGAACTAATTTCAAATATATATTTTATCAAATATATGTTTCTGACTAAGCATATATGAGTTTTAAAAGTCCAGACACACAGTAGGCGTGAGAAAGCAACATATACATCCAGTTTGCAAAACAAAATAAAATGAAGTTTTCTGGTTAATGCTTAATACATATTTCATATAAATAAAATAAGAAATACAATATAAATAATTAAATAAATAAAATTTATGCTATATAGCCCGTGGGAATTTTGCGGATGTGTGTCTCTACGCAATTTATTATTATTATTATTTTTTGGTTCGGAACATGTTCTGGGTGTGTGTCTCTACGCAATTTATTATTATTATTATTAGTATTGTTATTATTATTGTCGATTTATTATCATTATTTTTTATTCAGAACTTGAACCATTAACTTATACTTAAAACTCACTTTAGTAACAACAGTTGCTACCCATAAGTTCATCATTGTTCAAACTGGTTTTAAGTCATGTTTTGTTTTATTATTACTTTAATTTTGCTACTGCTTAGGTTTTTTTAGATTGGTTTCTATTTACTAATTAAATGGTACTTTTTTATAAGGAAAAAATTGAAGGTTCAAGTTTCAATAAAGTATGCGCATGTCTGAATGACTTGTTAGGATTTGAAAGAAAAATAAAATAAAATAATTGTTTGTATTTATCGAAGTGTCCAATTTTTA